TAGGTACGATCACAGGTCCGCCAGCCGTAGGTACGATCACAGGTCCGTCAGCCGTAGGTTCGATCACAGGTCCGTCAGCCGTAGGTAGGTCCGTCACCGGACACGGTGATCCGCGTTTAAGGAGCTGACCTCTGTCAGGAGACCTGCACAAATGTGTCCCTGATGAACACACCGCTCTCAATCAGCTGGTAGACACGAGGCTCTTCTTTCAGGAACACAACCACTGCTTTGTTCATTCTCGATGCAAAGGAGAGTTTATCGTGTCCTACCTGCTCACCGACAGCCAACAAAACCTCCTCTACGGTGACGCTATTATCCGGTGGGACTATCCTCACTCCCTGCCGGAGAGACAGAGGTGGCGTCTCGGAGGACGCCATTCCTCCCAAAAACACCTCGACAAAAGCACCAATCACTCAACATACAAACCAGTAAAACAGTTAAAGAGACTTACCTGAACATGCACATAAACAGATGTTGAAACACAGTTAAAGACCCGGAGATCAGGGATCAGGGACAGAAAACAATTCAAACTCAGCGCCACTCGCACATCCACCGTCACACACTCACGCTCACCGGAAACAGAAAGGGAGGAGAGGAGAGGAGAAGAGAGGAGAGAGACATAGTACATAATAGGAGAGAAAGATGATAAAGTTAGTTACACTACTTTGCCATAATAAGTGTCATTGCAATATAGACTAAAGGTGTCATATAACGTGTAATAAAATCATACTAGTGGTGGACCACAGAGGAATATTCCTGCATATTTCAAACTGGATTATTTCCCTTAAATGTGGCCAGTGTGACTCGAGGGGTCGTGCTAACTTTTCTTTAATCTGAACTTTTCACGTGATTATCAAACTGAAGGATGGTTAGACTGGCAGCTGCGTCTATGACTGTCTCTGCCTTTTAACTCTACTTTTCCCCAACACATAAAACCTCTTTCTGTTTTCCCAACATGGCGACATGCTGCTCTGATTAATTACTGTGAAGCGAAAATGCAATGTCACTGTCACTGTGAGCTGAGCTTCATCAGCTCCTGACGGGACTCGTCTACATAGAAGAAGACTGTGGCATTTGTTGCGTGATGTAGCACCTCTGCTCTTTTTCCCTGATTTATGTCATCAAACCACTTCCACCACCTGGCACTAACCTGTACATAATCGTAACGTAAATATGTCAACACATAATGGTTTCATTAATGATGTGACATTGTTGTCACATTAAGATTCATACTGGTCAAGATAAATCAAACAATACCAAAAACATCCGAGATGAAAATACCACATTAAAATAGAGGCTACCAATCATCCTAACTATGGTAACTACTTATACAGACATATGCCAGTTAATCCCACGATAACATATTTATGTTAATGTTGCTTAATGTAGCACATTTATTGCTACACAGTCATTTTTTCCACTATTGTTGCTATGTCTTGCTTTATCTTCCGTTGTGTATGTGCATCGCCTCAGAGCAGCTGTGTTCTTACCGTTCCATTAATGGGGACATCGTCATAGTGCAGAGCCACTCCAGTGGGGCAGGCATAGCCATTGACGGGGTTGTCCAGGTACGGGTTAGGAGAGACAGCACGCTTACTGGTGAAACTGTGATGAGAAGACATCAAGATTCATTCAAAAGAATCCACCTTCTATAATCTGACACATGTCTGTAAAATACACTGTAGATGGATCAACAACAGCAGTAAGGGCTGAATATACAGCGCCAACATCAAATTTTACACAACTGCAACATTCACAATGAAAATGACTCAATGTAAAAAAAAGAAAAGGTTTACTATCTGATTACAAAAAGTACTTGTCAGGTTGGTGTTTTCATCACTAGAGGAAATGTGTGTGTCCCTCACCAGAAGGACTGCTTGGCCAGCTGGATGACATTGGCGGTGGTCTCCACGTCGATGTAGTCGTAGTGCAGAGTGGCAGGGTCGGTGGTGGAGCCGGTCTCAGCCAATAAAATCCCCAACCAGCGACCCATCTCCTCAGAGGAGGAGGCCTGGAGGAACAACAGAGTCTCAGGTGTTGGCCAAATGAAATCCAGAGCTGCTTCTTCTTCATCTTTTAGTTAAACCAGGAGCTAAAAATGCTATCTGATAAGAGTTTACGACAGTCTGTCTCTATTTTTCATCATTAATGCTAAGTGATGCATTATTATAATTTCTTCAAATGAAGTGCTCTTTTTGACCCCGCTGTTCATCTTCTATATCAGTGGTTCTCAACTGGTCTGGCTGTGGGACCCACTATCACCCCTTAATGACAAGCCCAAATGTTCAACTTCTCAAATGTATTTAATGTAAAGATGGTGCAGTTTGAACCTGAGCTGAAAATGTCCTCTGCAGTCGTAGTGTAGGGAGCTCTCTTGTGCAGAGAACTTGTTCCTGTAAGTCCCCGTCCCACACATGTTTCACGTAAATGAGTAAAACTGCTTTGTTTGTTATGTCTGTGGATTCGTCCATTTGTAATGCAAAATGACCACTGGCCTTAATTCGAGCTGTGGTCTGTTGTTTGATGTCATCTGACATGTCTTCAATTTGCCTACTTATAGTGTCATTTGACAGAGGTATAGTTTTCAGTTCATCCTCTGCGGATTGATCCGACAAATGCCGCTTCAGTGTTGACGGCTTCATGCTTTCTTGTGCCAGAAGCTCGCTGCACAAAACACACTGAGGTTTTTGCCCTCTTTTGTCCTCAATGTAAGAAAATCCATATCTCATGTAGTTGGTGTCATACTTGCATTTCACCATGCCCAATTAGCATGAAAACAAACTGTGTGGGTGTTCTTCTATACCAGGGGTATTCAAGTACATTTCCAAAAGGTCCAGATTGAGAAAGTCTCCTCGTGCAAAGGTCCGGAACATTACAATAATATCTAACTTACACTATTTAGTGCCATATATATATATATATATATATATATATATATATATATATACACAGTGGGTACGGAAAGTATTCAGACCCCTTTAAATTTTTCATTCTTTGTTTCATTGCAGCCATTTGCTAAAATGGCTGCAATGACTTTTAATATTTCTAACCTTTAAACATTTTGAATTATTAAGCTTTTTGCAACTTTTTTTTGAATGGGATGTCTATGGAGAATATTTTCAAATCCTCTTAAACTTCTTCAACTTTCAAATCCTTCTACTTCCTCATACTTTGAGCTACAGGCACCATTTCAACTTTAAAATGTTGAGAAAACCCTGATCTATTGCAGAATGATTCAGCTTTGTGATATCTATTTAACTTTTTGAACTGCAGCAATTTAACTTAGGATTTTTCAGTCCTTTTCTGACTTTATAATGGGTGTGTATTGCGCAGTTTAGAGTGCGTGATGTCACCGCTAGAGTGAAGAGCATCTTGAGATTCTTGTGAAAAAAAGATTTGTCTTTTGCCACAATCTTCACTCTTCATGCATAATTTCTGGATGTAGAAGTAGCTAATCTTGTCCTTGTTGTAGACAAATGACTGTGGAATCCCACAGATTTACATATTTGGCACAGAAGCCTGTAATTGAGAGGAAAACCAACTTTCTGCTCCATAGAG